AAATGCTCGGTGCTGTTCTATGTCCTTCTATATATTTTACATCACTTAGTCACCTAACAGCCCCATACTTTACGTATTTTGTTAGCCCCACCTAAGAGCTGATAGTGTTTTGAAGGAGACAATTGAAAAGATAAACATTGAACAACATGGTGGACGTAGTGGTGAAGTCGTTCCAAGGACGTCGTGGGCACACAAGAGACACGTGACTCAACTTTCCCCAATACCAGGCCTGAGGGGACAGGGAGGGATACTTGAACCAAGTCATTACTGCTTCTCTCATGTACAATTACTTAACATTTCATGGTTTGAAGACATTATTTAACATTTTATAGCAAATCATCCAACGTTCACCACAGCATTTCATTATATTTCTAAATATTGAAGAATTACGTTAAGCTTTGAAATACATCAACTTTTTCTAAAAATGTGGTCCAAATCTCACTTGTGATGTTTTGAGCAATCTGTTGTTGGTTAAATCTGAATGGAGAGCCATGAACTTGACTCTTGGAGAAAGAAGAATATGTGATAATTAGATGAATTATTAAACTACCAGCATAACTTGGGGTGGAAGGCTCTCACCAAAACTGCAGCATGGCAGCTCAGCGCCTGGATTCAGATTCCAAATGTGCTTTAATGGATTCCCTACAGTGTTTGCAGACATACAGGAGGCACTGATGAGAAGTTGGGAAATTTCACATAAAAACTGAATTTTAAAATTAAAACTGAATTTTCTAGCTGGGCACAACGGTGGCGCACACCTGTAATCCCAGCGGCTCAGGAGGCTGAGGCAGGAGGATCGTGAGTTGAAAGCCAGCCTCAGCAACAGCGAGGCACTTAGCAGCTCAGTGAGACCCTGTCTCTAAATAAAATAAAAAATAGGGCTGGGGATGTGGCTCCGTGGCCAAGTAACCCTGAGTTTAGTCCCCAGTACCACCTCCACCTCCCACTTTCCCCAGAAAACCCCCTGAAATTTCTGATTTCTCTTAGGAAAAAATGGACTATCTGGTGGCCATGGCCATGACCCTCTGAACTGGCTGCCTCCTGGGAATGTGGCATGTTGGTGTAGAAAGGATGAATGCAGGGATTCTCATCATGGATGGAAAGAGGGAGAATTGTGTGGTCGGAGTATAAAATTTGAATCAAGAGGAGTAAAGAGCTGGGCCCGGTGGTGCACACGCCTAAATCCCAGTGGCTCAGGAGGCTGAGGCAGGAGGATCAAAGCCAGCCTCAGCCACTTAGAGAGGCCCTAAGCATCTCAGTGATCTAAATAAAATATAAAAAGGACAGGGGGCTGAGGTCATGGCTCAGTGGTAGAGCACTTGCCTGGCATGTGGGAGGTACTGGGTTTGATCCTCAGCACCATGTAAAAATAAATAAATAAAATAAAGGTTAAAGTATCCAAATAAATAAATAAATAAAGATAATGGAACATTCCAAACTCTACTTCCTACCCCACAACTCCTCTTCTACAGTCTTCCTTCCTCCCAAGGGCAATAACTACTATTCTGAATTTTGTGGACACTTTTTTTTTTTTTTTGGCTTTCTCAGGGTCATTGTGTAAATAGCATGAAACTGTGTGTCTTCTTTTATGTCAGGTCTTTTGTTACGGAAGTCTTTTTATTTTAATGTTTTGCTTTTAAGATTCATTCTGCTGATACGTGCGACTTTAGTTCGTCTTTTCACGGTGTTTTAGCTCTCCGTGTGCCACAGTTTATCAGTGCTGCTGTCAAGGGTCCTCTGGGGTCTGTCTGGGTTTTTTCTATAATGAATAGTATCTTCCAGAACGTTCCTGTCCATGTGTGTTGGGGGAATATCTGCACCTAAGGATACTCCTAAAATTCCAATAGCTGATTGGTCTGTGTTATGGGCAGCCATAACATAACGTTTTCCCAGGTGGGTGGGCCAATTTACGATCCCACTTGAAATCAATATTTAGTAAATAAATATTGAAATGGAAAAATAGTTCTGCCCAGCGAATCCTTTTTCTCAGTGCTGGGGATTGAACCCGGGGCCCTGGGTGTGCCAGGAGACTGCCCTACCCCTGAGCCACAGCCTCGGCCCATTGACCCCCGGGAACAGCTTCAGTGTCTTTTCT